GCTCAAAATCATGAACTTTGGCTCAATGAACTACTATGGCCGATGGCGTGCGCATCGTGCGCCGCCTTAGGCTTTAAGCCGATTCTTCGACCGAACATGAAATTCTCTCGACACTTATGAACTAACTGATCATGAAATGACATATAACGGTCGAATAACCATGAATTGCACGTAAGTTGCCGGATAAAAACGAACATCACTCGGTCACGGCCTAACATGGCCTAAACCGAACATCACCTAGCCTTGCTTATGAATTACTGGACATGGTTGAACATTATGAACCTATCATGATCAGATTAACATGAATAGATGATGAAGACGATGATACCTCTTCAACCTCTCGATCAACTGTACGTGACTTCCGTGATTTTCCCTTGCGTGCGCGTGCGTGTGTTCGTCTTCGTCTCATTTCTCCCGTGCGTGTGTGTAAAATATAGCTTAACCTCACTTAATTTATGCTAATTATAGGGTAATCTATCTATTAACTTTGTTGAGTGCTCCGGTTAAGCATAAGGTAAAATTTCTCCTACACCATATATAAAATGGGCGGACGAAATAGTGAAAAAGGGTGAAATGCTTTTGGCCAATCATATTGCACCACTTGCCAAGTAACTAAGGCCTTAGGTGTAACTTGGCTTGCTTAGTCCCCACTTGAACATTAAGAACAAGCCACATAAGCTAATAGGAAATAATGAGAGCACATGACCTTCTCTTCAACCTTACGGCCCTTTTAAATTAAATACGGCTTAAGTGAGCTTTGTGCTATACTAAGCACAATTTGATGCTAAGATAAATGTACCCACTTTGTGAATTAAGACTTGCACAATGAACATGCTTACTTGACAATAGCACGAGTTTAAGCATAAATAAACACCATTTACGTACTTATTAATTAGACCGTGCATGATTAATTGGTTAAGCTCGGAAATTATCTTTGCATATGATTAAATAATTAAACTATTCTGAGCATAAACGTAACATGCGAAAATTAATTCGAACGTTCTTAACTTGGATAATTAGTTTCGAACGATAAAGCTTACTAAAATAAATATTTCGGAACTAAACATGACATTTCATTAATAACATGATGGGCTATTACAGTGGAGTTGTTTCACGTGGAGCACCGTACATACCTCCATTCGAGTATCATGTTTTGTCTGAGAGCGACACCGAAGAACCTAGCAACGCAAAGAAGGGCCGCGACAAATGTGTTGAAGTTATAGATGTCGAGGACTACAATGTATATCATGATCCAAAGAGTAAGTTGTTACCGTACCCTATTCGAACGAACATTCCACGCAAAAAACAACCACCCCGTCCGGTATTTTATATGGGCAGTAGTTCAAAGGCCTCAAAACAAAAGCATTCAATACATAGTCAGACTGGGTTAACTGATGGATCTGCCAATCAGTTATCAAAGCACCACTCATATGAGCCTCGAGCCGATGAAGTAGAAGCAAATTCTGCGTCCACTACGTGTTCTGCCACTTCAATTGATTACATGCCAGATTGGCCGACGTATTAGGTCCTTCATATGCTGAATCACTTACTTTTCTGTTCGTACTTGTGTGTTAGTCAATGTTGTCCTATTTTAATGTTTATGTTTCTAAGCACCTTCTAATTTGCGTTGTAGTTTTTGTTTGACATGTTTGGTTGTTGGACTGATTTGTTGTGGAGCTTATAAAATCAGTATTGTTTGTGTGTTCCCATAAGAACTGAACCTTGTGTTGTTTGTTGATGATTTATGTCTTCAATGTTGATGTTGTCGTATATTTGTTTCCCATAAGATCATGCATTGTATGACATTTCTATTTAAGTTGTATGGATAATTAAACTAAATCCATTTATGAAAAGTTCATATTTTTATGACTGTTCAAACTTTTAATACAAAGTACAGTTATATAACCAATAAAAGGCATTTGAAATTTTAATTGTCTACAAGCAAAAACATTAATCCACAAAAGTTTCCAACAAAGTTCGCAACCTAATCCACACAAGTTCATAACATCATCCACAAAAGTTTGCATCATCCGCCCAAAATGCACATTATCCACTACACAATACAAATCCACTACATTTTGACTTTGAATTTTATGACTTCATCATTTGGGATGAGAACGAAAGTGCACACATCGCCTATACCAATGTTGTTGTTATCGATCAACTGCCATGCACGACCGTTCTGTATCAGTTACTTACTGTTACCATGAATGATTTCGACCTCATAATAATTATCACAAAACTGCACAATTGCACGGTTGTAGTTCGAATACTGTCCTTGAATATAATCCCTCCAAAACTGCATAGGGATGGTTTTAAATATAAAATATGTTAAATGACAATACTATAAAATATGCAATTTCAATAGAATTCTACTTTTACATCAAACAAAGTACCAAACCAATGAATAATGAGAAATTAAACTCATATATAAGCAGCTACAAACATTTATCTTGATAACCTTTTAGGTTCTAAAGGGGTATGAATAAGAACCAGACCTGGCAAAATTAAAGAAATGGAGGTAAACACGGACTTTTGAATATGATTAGACGAACATAGGACTTGAACCTATGTAATGAATTTACACATGATATATGATACCATGATAGAAAGCAGAAGCAACGTACCAAACGTGCACGCTCCACATGTGTTGGCTTTATTTCGAGGCTAAACGTGTACCGTGGTAACCTCTCACACCCATTGCGCTCCAACACCCACACTTCAAAGTCAAACATGGTCCTGGGACGAAAAACCAAAAAGTATTCTATTGTTACGTCTTCCGATAGTATGAAATCTCTCCACCCGTCCACTAATGCAGGGCAGTTGTCCACCATACGCAAGGTGGTCTCGTACTTACGGCCCTCTATTGTCTCGATAATGCATCTTTGTGGAAACAACACACCATGGTAATAGTGGTATGTTGCTGGGGGGAATGCCTACATAACAGAACTCAAGAACTCATAGGTGTTTCCTATAGACAACGTATATAATGAACGAATATTATGAACAAATGAAACATGTAGATACAAATAAAATAACTAATCTGACCATCGTATGGAGCGTACGGGAGTTCACAGCCTTGAAGAAATGAGGAATAGTACCGTCAACATCCATGTTTTGCATCCTGTGCCTGGGCTCACACTATCCATGTTAACCAAAAAAAAAAATTTAAAAATAAAGTAAAGGATTCGCATATTATATCACAACACCTTTCACAATAAATGATATATGTAGAACTGCCATTCCCAAATAAGCCGTTCTACCACCATTCAAAATCATGTTGTTAAATTGTCAAACACAACAAGCACATAAATAATATCTTAACATGATTCAGCAAAACAAGCACAACAACTACAAAGTCTTACGAAGCCAAATGAAAACAAACACATAAACAAATAAGTCTTAACATGCCAAATAAGTCTTCACATAAAATTCTTAACATTACAACTACCCTACAATCTTCCTTCATGCATCATTTTCACCATCACAGCTTGATTCTCTGGGCTGAAGCTGAAAAATATAGACAACTCATCTTGGTTCTTGCACAAACGCATTGTGACCACCATTTTAGCCTCGGTTGACAGGAAATGCATATTAGATAATGATTCAAAGACTGTATTCCTTTTCTTCTCAGCATTGTGCTCGAACCCAAGCCTACAAGCAACCACATTCAAGCTGTCTTTTGTGTTCTGAGAGAATGATTCCATGACATCTAGAAATCTTTCCTCCCACTGGTTGAGTGCCTTTCTTTTGCCACTTGTCTTTTTCTTCCCTGCCCTCGTAATGGACTCAGATGCGGTACTAGAGGTGTTACCTATGCCAACACATGGGCTTCCATCATTGAGGTTAGGACCTGATGGAACCTCCTCATGGTCGGAGTCTGGTGTGTCCTGCTGCATGTCTTAAGCTGGGAATTCGTCTGTTGCGTCCTCCAAGGCTTGTACATTTTCTCTTGTTGCTCTATCCTTCCCAAAGATCTCTGCCCAATCGTCAATGTATAGGAAGGACTTGTTCTTCAGAGATTTGGTATTAGGATCTACCTACATCATTCAAATATATGGGATGGCCATAAATGTGGGGAATGGTTTTACCTCAAGAAAACTCAATTATGTACGTGATGTTTGCTTGGACTGTTACCTTTAACCAGGCAATCCGTATAGGATCATCGCAGAAAAAAAGTTTTGGTTAGCTCATTCCACCTGAAGCCTGAGGTACATTTTATGAGTGCCACACTAACATAGTTTTTCCGCCACACGTGAATCTTCGAGATTATGTGAGGGTCCGCACGAATGGTACAATTTGGAAACTTGAACTTCAATCTTCTCTCGATCTCGAAATTGTAACCTTGCCTAAAACCGTTGTCTGCCCTCCACCCCTCTTTAACCATATCTTTTAAAATATCTATTAGGGTCTTCTCCTCAGCAGGACTCCAAACACGTCGTCGTGTTGTTTAGGAGGAGGAAGCTCTCCCACTCTCATGGCTAAATGAATAGTCCATGGTAATACCTGTGCAGATAATATTATTGCACGAAAGGATTGGTTTCATCATTATTTCTAAGATAATGACCTCACCTAACAAAGAATAAAGATATGATAGGGTAAACGAAGGCTGAAAATGGTAAAGAATGCAATTAAAATCAAATAAGATCCCTTAAGAACTGTCATTAATGGACAAAACCGTGAAATAAGAAATGTTGACATCCAAAAGAAAAGAAAAGTGGTCGTCTCTGATCTTATTCTATTTAAAGAATTCTTCAACTAAAAGACATTGTAATCCCAATCATTAAACATTATGATTCTCAAAGGCTTCTGCATTTTCTCCTGTTGCTCTGTCCTTCCCAAAGATCGCCCCCCAATCGTCAATGTATGGGAAGGACTTGTTCCTCAGAGATTTGGCATCAGGATCTACCTACATCATTCAAATATATAGAATGACCATAAATGTAGGTGATGGTTTTACCTCAAGAAAACTCAATTATGTACGTGATGTTTGATTGGACTGTTGCCTTTAACCAGGCAATCCGTACAGGATCATCGCAGGAAAAAGTTTTGGTTAGCTCATTCCACCCGAAGCCCGAGGTACGTTTTATGAGTGCACTAACATAGTTTTTCCGCCACACGTGAATCTTTGAGCTTATGTAAGGGTCCGCACGAATGGTACAATTTGGAAACTTTAACTTCAATCTTCTCTCGATCTCGAAAATGTATCCTTGCCTAAAACTGTTTTCTGCCCTCCACTCCTCATTAACCATATCTTTTAAAATATCTATTAGGGACTGCTCCTCAGCAGGACTCCAAACACGACGTCGTGTTGTTTGGGAGGAGGAAGCTCTCCCACTTTCATGGCTAAATGAATAGTCCATGGTAATACCTGTGCAGACAATATTATTGCACGAAAGGATTGGTTTCATCATTATTCCTATGATAATGAACTCGCCTAACAAAGAATAAAGACATGATACAGTAAACGAAGGCTGAAAATGGTAAAGAATGCAATTAAAATCAAACAAGATCCCTTAAGAACTGTCATTAATGGACAAAACTGTGAAATAAGAAATGGTGTAAAGAAAAGAAAAGAGATCGTCTCTGGTCTTATTCTATTTAAAAAATTCTTCAGCTAAAAGACATTATGATCCCAATCATTAAATATATCATGCGTCAATCGGTCACGAAACCGTGTCCATTCTGGGCTAGCCTCCACCTGGTCTATCAAGTCATCTTCATTCGTAGTTGTGGACACTCCATGAGTCGGTATCTCAGGGACTAGGGATCATTAGCCATTGATGTACGTATGAAGTTGTGGAGGAGCGCACATGTCATGATAATGCGATTCTGTGTTCGAGAAACTCCTAAGAATTGCCCATTGCATTTTTAAAATGCCAAACGAACGCTCAATCACATTTTTAGCCTTAGCATGGCGAAGGTTATACATTTCTCTAAAGTTTTGTGGCCTGCGATTTCCTGTATCCTATTCCTATAAGTGGTATCTGACACCCCTATATGACGCTAAAAACCCTGGACCATTCGTATACCCACCATCCACCAAATAATAATTTCATGTGTGATACATTTTGTAACAAAGATTAAACCACTAATGTGTGTTTTAATTTCCTATCTTTATGAATGATATAATTATGTAAGAGCTAATACCGTTTGGAACACTTAGACCATGCGACCTAGTAACGGCATCGCGCAGGACTCGACTATCTGCAGCTGACCCCTCCCAACCACATAGCATGTACACGAAGTTAATATTTTTATAGAAAACGCCAAGTACATTAACACATACACTACTCTTACGATTTCTATATCGTGCCTTATCAGTAGAAGGAACTCGCACGTCAATGTAGGTACCATCTAGTGCTCCTAGACATCCCTAATCAAAAAAAGTAACGAAAATTTATTACTTCTATGGATTGAAGTAACAAAACAGTAAGACGTTGAGAAACGTGTACTAGGTTACCTTGAACCATTTCCACCTTTCATTAACACAATCGGCTTCAACTGCCTTTGGTTGCACAGCTAGGATACGGTGAACTCGTATCACCGCATCAAGAACCCGGTTAAAGTATTTGCTTATTGTCTTACAAGATCTTACAAAATGAAGCTTCAAAGTGACATTTTTCTTATGATGAGCTAGGACTGAGAGAAAAATTTCAACTTGCTCGCTCGGTGCAATATTTCTGGATGGACGAAGTCCGCCAGAACTTTCAAGAAGGTAACATAGGCGTCCAAAGGAGTTACAATCCATACGGAGGTTCTAGACACAAGATATGTCACTCACGTCGACCAACTTTCGCATGTAAATGACCTGATGGGGGAGTCTATTGCTAAATCTAAATGAAGGAACATGCTCACTGCGGAACGTTGACGTCTTCGATGAGGACGGATGAATTTCATATAGTAATAAATAGATAGTAACAAAAAAAACGTTAACACTACTGATAACCTCTTCCAATATAGCAACAACCGCTAATTCTTCTACATTGGTATCCATCTACAAATGTGGATCAAGACCTCATTCACACTTTGTATAGACTACGTAATGGGTATCTTAAACGCTGGTCAAGAACATCTATAACCTCATTAAAATTGTATAAAATACCTAAGCATCAAAAATGCAAGAACACCACAGGCAATTTGAAATACCAGTCGGCTTCAGAGAAGTTATAATCACATAAAACATGTAACAAACAAAAATGCAAAAGTGTATCTCAAATGTCAGAACACCACAGATAAATTGAAAAACTAGTCACCTTCATAGATATAATCACAAAAAACATTTTGAAGTTCTTCAAAAAAAACATAAAAGCATATGAAATTGAAGAACACAACAACCAATTTGAAATACCAGAATGCGTTTATTGACGGCCGGAGGGGCGGTTTAGCAGTACCGATCGGTAAAGGCAGTTATAGCAAGTGTGCCGGTATTGTTAAGCCGGCGAAAGGTGAGACCGTGGGAGGTTTGGAATTCTCATCGCGAATTGAATGCGGGCTAAGCCCATTCAGTGTGAGATTTAGAGAACTGCTAGGCCTCATCGGGCCCAACACTTTCTTAGTCCGCATCTGGATCTTGATTTCGTTTACCACGACATATGAATATGCCTCGCCTCGAAAAAAAGCCGCTAGCTGCAATCGTGGCTTACAGCCGACCCAGGGAAAGAGCTGTGCACAAAGGAACCATGGGCAGGGATGGCGACAAACGTATTCACCCGTCTGCGGTCAATCCAATACCTTATAACTGGTTGGGGGCTGTCTCTATAGGACACGACCAAAGCTAGGTTGCCATGATATTGGGGTGAGTCTTGTAAAGATAAAAGTCCAGGGTTTATCAATGTGGAGAGAACACAACACATAAGCATATGAAATTGAAGAACACAACACATTGAAACAAACAAATGACAAAATCATAACATGAAACATGGAAAAATTTGACCTAAAAATGGACCAGTTGAACAAAATTTCACAAGAAATGGCACAACAAGTATACCAAAATATGGACAGCAGTTATTGTTATTAGCATTCAAACTGAAACAACAATGAACAACATACGAGCCCTTTCAAATTCAACAACACAACACCCACCCTTAGAAAAAAAATATACTCATAACATCAAACCTGTAAGAATCTCCAACAGACTAATAATAGATGTACAAAAGACTTTCTAAGCATATCTCATTGAATAACACAACACATTCAACCAAAGAAATGACAAACTCATAATAGATGACAGAAAACCTGTCATGACATAAAACGTGATAGTTGTTCAGAAGTTTATATAGCATGTCAAATGCAAGAACAAAACAAGTACTCTAAAAAAAAAACTTAGGCATCCATAACCATCTGTTTTTGCAGTCATCCGCGCACAAAGCAAATATGAACCAACTTAGGCATATTTGAAGCACAACTTAAGCATGTACCTGACCAAGTGCACACCAGAAGAAGGCAAAACAAATATAGAACACAACCTTACAAAGTTTACCGTTCAACATATTACAAAGTTAAGAATGTCGTACATCCTTACTAATAAACAAATCTAAATCTCCATAGTAAGACTCAGAAATAAAAATAACCACAGACAAAAGACTGAAAGCATAATGTAAAGTGTTCAATTTACTGCATTGTTGGCAACCCTGCAAGTAATTAAATCGAAGCAAATACTGTAAACTATCATTTCCTACATAGAATCAGATTATATGAACTTTCATTAAGTAATGCAGCAGTAAAAAAAGCTACACAGACGCAACATATAACCAACGTTGTGCACATCATATAAAAATAAATTTAAAAAAATTAGAAATCATCAATACAGATACCTGGTGCTAATATCTTCGAGCAAGAAGAAGCAAATGACACCTGCGAGTTTACCAATATTACAACTGTGGTCGAAAAAAAAAACAGAAAAAGGGAATAAAACAACGGTGGCGGTAATGTACGAGCAGAGATAGCAAGTTCCAGAATCTGCCGGCCGGAGACGAAGCAATCGGCACCTAAAGATGGTAACAATGTTGGAATTAAATTTCGTATACAAAAATTAAATACAAATTGAAGAACACGAAGTTGGGCGAGAGAGAATGGAGAAGGGCGGACGTACCTAGGGTTTCAGCAGTCGGGCGAGGAAGAAAGAGTGACGCTTCAGATGGGAAAATATATTATATACGGCTATATTCGTAATTTAATTGACATCCAGGGGTAAAATGAACTTTTGACACCCACCTTTTTGGATAAAATGGGAAGGAATAGTGGAGGATAAAAAAATCCGTCCAAATCTGGCGGATAAAACAATACCACCAACTCGATTTTAAGCTACGGGATCCACCCGCCACACACCATACACATCAGCCGAATCTCAATCTATATAATGTCTGGTAAACATATGATAAGGTTGGTTAACCAATCTTATCCCATTCTATCCACCCTAGTAAACAAGGCCTTAGTGAAAAACAAGGCATACGTACTCGGTCCACTTTGAGCCACACATACATACCAATAGTCTTCCTTGTTTTACCAACGCATCGCCCAAATAAAACAGGTTATTTCTTTTCCTTTTATTTTTATTTATTTTTTAAAACTAAAAAGGAAGGCAAAATAACGGAGCTTAATAAGATGATAATGGCTTCCTCCACAGCCAGAACTTCTTCTTTGGCAGTCTTCCCTCTCTCGCCCCCTTTCCCGCCGCCACCACGGCGGAGAGGTCTAATGCTCAAACCTCTCCGGCGGCCCAATTCTCTGATCCTCAAATCCGTGGATGTCTCCAAAGAAGAGCAGCCGATTTCCTCGGATGAGCCGCCCAAAATCGACAACAGAAGACTGGAGGAGAAGTTCGCCGTGGTGAATACAGGCGTCTATGAGTGCAGGTCTTGCGGGTATAAGTACGAGGAGGCAACCGGGGACCCTTCTTATCCGATCCCGCCAGGCCTTCCCTTCGATAAGCTGCCGGCCGATTGGAGGTGTTCCACTTGCGGCGCCTCTCAGAGTTTCTTCGAGAGTAAGAGTATGGAGATTGCGGGATTTGCTCAGAACCAGCAGTTTGGATTTGGGGGTAATACGCTTACCTCTGGCCAAAAGGCTTTGCTTATCTATGGTGGTTTGCTTTTAGGATTTGCGCTCTTCTTGTCTGGTTATTTTCTCCAATAATCATGAAAACTGGGAAAACTGTGCTTGTTGTATGTCTCTTATTTGGGCTTGTCGGTTATATTGTTTGTTCCTCACTGGTAAAATTTGTGATGGGCCTGGGAGTCATCTACAATACAATGATGGAAATATTTCAGCATTTTCTAGTTACTCTTTTTCTTTTTTTTTTTTTT